TGAGGGCGGTGTGGGGATGTGAGGAGGGGTGAAGGGGTGGGTGTGTGAGGGGTGGGGGGAGATGCTGTCCCGACTGTCTGTACGGGAGCAGCCCCTTGGACATTTCCCCCCTCTCCCTCCCCCACCGGTGGCAGTAACGGCGCTGGCTGTGTCGGCAGTAGAACAGAGTGGGATCCCGTCCCCACCGACTCTCCCTCTCCCACCGTCCGACCCCCAACTTTGGATTTTGTTTTGGAGAAAGGTGTGTGTTGGTGGTTGAGGGGGTGCGGGGATTGGGTAATGGGAATGTTGTTGTGTCTGCTCCCACCTGCCTCTCCCTGCCCCAGGATCGAGTGTCGTTCACGACGAGATGGGGAGGTGTGGGGTGGTTTTATGTGCCCGCTCAGAATAACTAACTCTAATGATTGAATGAACAAGTGAAGGGGAAGAGGGCGGGCGGGTGGGAAAACGCCGGAAAGTTGCTCAGTTTGCTGCACTTGGATGGGACTTCAGCTGCTGAACCCGTTTGGTTTGGTCCATCATCAATCTCACGGGCTAATTTGTTTCCAAATAGCAGGGTCTTTTTTTTAACCCCAGAGGGTTGTTTGTACTTTTGGGACTCGGGCCACGTATCGGAGTGAGATTGTGATTGCGGGGTTTTGATTTAGTACTTCAGTTCTCTCCCTGGGCTGTCCATCTGGGTCTGACGGCGAGTCAAACCCACTCCGTGCCGTCCTTTCCAGCCCCGGACTAATTTCCAGCTCTGCTCGTTCATGTTCTCAGCCGGATCTTTCGGCTCTCGTAAGGTAAGTGCTGTTTATTTTCGGAGGTGGGGAAGAAATGACTGTAACAGAGGGTTTTCTTTTCTATTTGTAGACCGGTTACCTCAATTAGTGCAGACACATTTTTAAATTCCAATTTCGAAGAAATTGACTGACAACTATATCGGCTTAAAAAAAATCAATTCGAGCGTCGGTGCATTTTCAAGCAACTTTTTGATCAAAGCGGGAGTGCAGTAGAATCCACATACTTTCAATTTATTTGAATGAATAAATTGAATATTTCTGCCATGTTGATTTCTGTTTACTTTTCGCCTTTGTCTCCTAAAATGTGGTTTTACGGCTTTCTTTTTAAGAACGGGTGGTTTTGATCTGTATTTTTTCTTGCATATGATTCCGATTTATTAATTTAATTTTCCGCAACTTTTAAAAGAAATTAATTGGCGTTTAGGTGTTGAAAGTCTTGTACTATCGACATTGAAACCTGCTTTCAAATGCGCTTTTAGTTGCAATCAGATGAGTTACAAAAGAGTCTATCAATTAATAGTGAGAAGTGATCGGTGAAGTAGCATACAAGCTGGTGGCGAGATAATCGAGTCATGTCAACGCAAAATCAGCTTTGAGCTTGAAGATTCTCTTATACTGTCCAATCAGCCACGCTGTATCTGAAGCCTGGGGGCTGGGAAGCTGGTTACTGCTCATATGATGTAGCCGATAGCCAGTACTCTCCAAGCGGAGAGATGAAGTTATAGGACTCCAGGTGTTAACTTTTACTTTGGTTGTGTTGGAGTCACTAACATCTATATTTCTGTAAACATTTTTATTATTGTGAATATGGTTGACACTGTGATAATGACCAGGTAATTTGTTTTTGTCATGTTGATTGAGGAATATATATTGGCCAGGACATGGGGGATAACTGCACTGGTGTTTGAGATTACACTGTGGGATCATTTATGCCTACTTGAATAGGCAGATGGGGCATTGGTTTAAGGACATGGCATCAGGTTTTTTGCAGGAGACTGAGACAAACTGTTGCCAATGGTCTGAGAATCAAATACTAGAAATAATCCCACATTGCAGCCTCTTGTTGGTGATAGGCTTCTAGTGTAAACCATGGGTTTATGGTGTTACGTATTCATTACTTTGTCAAATGGTTGCTGTGACTTTGGAGATGAGCTGATGATGAATGACGTGATTTTGGGGTGGGGTAAAGTGGGGCAAATATTGCACCAGAGAAATAAGACAAGAACTTGGGATTGGAGATTTGTATTTGTATCAATGGTTACCATATTTCAGTTGCTGAAAGGAACGGAGAAAATAATAGCAATCTCAAGCAGGAGGGGATAGGAAATAGTAATTTCTTCATCTTGGAAGATGTGGAAGAATGCAGGCAAAGAGGAATCCCCATAACTTAAAGTGGCTCTATTTGTACCACAGGCCAAAAGAATAGTTGAAGCCTAAGGTGAGATGTTTCTTTTAGTGCTTGTGCTCCATTCTCACAAATTCCTGGAGGCTGTTTTTCATCAGCATAGCAGGACCTTGCTGGTGGTACTTTTAAGTTCACTGATTCCGCATGATGGCTATGTAACATTGACATGGACAACAATTCCACTGATTATATGTAGCAGCTATTGATTGCACATACATTTCAATTATTATTATTTGTTTCAAAGAACTCCATGGCTTTCTGGCAAGATGGATCACAGTTGTTAAGATTTTGGGCTAGTAATCCAGGGTCTGGATGATGGCTGCTCAAATACCACCATGGCACTTTCTTGAATTGTGAAGCTACCAGCAGCAGTGATGACTGTGAAACTACCAGCTGGTCAAAAAAATCTACTTCACTTGTGTCCTCTAGAGAAGGAAATCTGCCATCCTTAGTCAGTCTTGCCTACATGTGACTCAATTCCCACAGCAATATGGTTGAAACTGAAATGGCTGAGCAAACCATTTGGCTGTATTCAAGCAAGTTACGCATCACCACATTCTCAAGGGCATTTAGGGATGGACAGTAAGTATTGGCCTTGCCAGTGATGCTTATACCTTGAGAATGAATAACAAAAGCCTCTAAGTAGTGCTTGCAGGGTGGATTCCGTTCAACACGGAATCCAAATGGTAGATCTTTGAAGGAAGGCATTATAACTTACCAAGATGAAACTCACAGCTTTAATGAAATTCTCACTGAGATGAAAGTTTGCTGCCATTAGTTGGACTATTCACTTGCCCCTTCAGAGTCAGATAATTAATAATAGGAGGTCTTGTAGGAACCCAAATAAGAAATAAAGTTGACATTCAATAAAATTCATTTAACTATTTCTGTTTCCTAATTTTGGCACTTAACTGCATGTATATTTTTATTAATGTTATACTGCTGCATTACTCTAAATGAGTGAAAGATGATGATGCATTGTGTTAATGCTACAGTGGGCAATGGTTATGAGGGATAAGTCTCCTATCTGCTGCTAAACAAGTTGTTTATTTCAGCTGTACAGTTGTGAGTGAAACTCACCGGTGTCACCTGTGATGTGTGATGGCCTTTTGATCTGGAAACTCTGTAGGAAGGAAAAAGTTTAATTTATTTAAAGTAGCTGCAGAATCTGTAACTGTTCATAGGAATATTTCAAAAAGATTTAAGAGTTTTCATCAATTATAGTTTTCTTGGGTAAGAAGAAGCACTGGTTTATGTGACCTGCAAACCCTTGACCTGGAAGCACTGCCAATGGAAAGGATAGGTAAAAAGCTATGCAGCCAGGGGCACAAAAAAGTTCTGCAGGAGGGTCAAAGAAACGACCAACAAAGAAGCAACTCCTGTAAAGAACAAAAGACAGCTAGAGGCAGAAGGCAGTCACCATACAGATGCACAACAGAAAGAATCCAGATACAGACAGAAAGGTGAATACACGCTCATGTCTTCAGCCGTAATTTGGATATCATAATTGCCTTTTGGTAGGGTCATGTTTAGGACTTTATCTCTCAGTTCCATATATACAGCAGAGATTTACAGACAGTCAGAAGGCTGATTAGAAAATTTTACCCTTGATGGCTTGGGTCTTTCTTCACTGCAACCTCTAGGATGCTTTCAGGTTGTCTTTTAAAAATGTGTGTTCTCTGTACTTTGTTCATAAATGGAAGGATATTGTTTCCAACGAGAATCACTTTTGAGTAAATACAATGGGAGATTTATCACTATGCCTGTTTCTCTAGTAACTTTAGCTGATGGTGTCTTATGTTCACTTTTAAATCTGATAAAGCAGTTTAAGTATATCTCTCCAGGGACTGCTACTCTCACTGGCATCACTCTTTTACAGTAGCTGCATTGTGTGCATGGTAAGGAACCAAAGTTGCAAGTTTTTCATGTTTTCTAATGTATTAGAGAAATGTGTTAATCTCAATTAAAAACCACATGGATTTTATATTGGGATTACATGACAGTGGTAATTTGAGTTCAGTGGGTAATTCTAACCTGCTCAGTAGTCAGTCTGTGAAACAAGCACAGGGATCTTACTAAGTACAGGCAGTTGTCAAATTGTTAACTTTGTGTCACTTGAAAAAAAAACTGGCAGTGTTGTCAATCAAATAAATTTTCATTATTGCTTTGAAAATGTTCAACCATGGTCCAAAAATTAATTAAATCAAAAATGAAGTAATCACATGACCAACTGGTGGATTTTATTTACCTGGTGCATTGCTTTGCAAGATAATATACCAGGTGACAGTTGTTTAAATTGTAGGTTGTAGTTCCGAGCAACATGTTGCAAATCTGTGGATCTGCACCTGTTAGTGAGAGCCAGACAATGTCACAAATAGAACATGTAACATTTCTGAAACAATTTATTGATAAATGGGGTGGGTGAGCTGAAATTGGGACTGTCTATTCAAAGTGGTAACCTTGTGTAATGCCAATAATTAATAATCTGAATACTTCTGACAAGATTGATGTGCTCTATTAATCTGAAATGTGAATTGCTTGCAGATCTTCATGGATTTTGATCTGTATCAACAGATCTGCTGCCACCTACAGTGACTTAACTTGATTGCTTATTCATTCAAGCTTATTGCCTATTTGTTTTGACTGTAGAAAATAATATGTAGTCCAGACACAAACTGCCGTAGATTAAAAATAAAAACAAAGAAGTCCAAATGCTGGAAATCTGATACCTATGCAGAAAGTGCTAGAGCAGAGGTCAAGTTTCAAGTCCAGTGACCTTTCTTCACAACAGAGATGCTCTGCGGATGGGTCACTGGAATCAAAATGTTACTTCTGGTCTGTCTGTCTCTGTCTTTATATAGGTACTGCCAGACCTGCTGAGTTTCTTTAATTCTTTCTGTTTGTGTGGCGGGTAAGTAAGATGGATTTGGATTATATCATGCATTAGCTGTGTCTTTCCTGGTATGATCCTTAAAATCCTTGAAAAGAATTAATTAAGAAAGATAATCAAATTGACTGCAATGATGACCCAACTTCCATTCCTGTTTCCCAGGTTAGCTGATATGATCAGTGGTTCTCCGCAAGTTATGTGCCTCCTCTTCTTCATACCCACCATTGCCCTTCTCAAAAACTGTATTCTGTCACCATCCTCACCATTCTGTCAAACTACACCTCCGCCTCTAAACACCCTTACCTCTCCATAGTTCACGATTATAATGTCACCACCCGTGTTTGTGCAAATCTTACTTGAACTTGATGTCTGCATCCCGCCAATCTGGTTTATGCCCCTGTCACAATATCAAAACTTCTGTTACCAAGGTCACAAGTAACTTCCTCGGTGACTGACAGTAGTAAACTATTGCTTACATAGACACACAGCGTTGCAATTGCTGGAAATCTGAAACAAAAACAGAGTTCTGGAGAAACACGGCAGGTCTGGCAGCATCTGTTGAGAGAAAAATAGTTAAAGTTTTGAGTCCAATGACCCTTCGTCAGAAGTATTACTTGTAGCCCTTAACAACCTATCTGCATCCTTTGATGTGATTGATTACACTGTCCACCTCCAACACCTCAGCTTCATCAGCTAATTAGGTGGAGATTGCTTTTGCCTGGTTCCGTTCTCATTGTTTTAAAATTCTTGTCCTTGGATTTACATCCCTCCCTTCCCTCAGTCTTCCCAATCCCTGTTATCTCTTCCAACCCCAGAATCCACCAAGATATCTGTACTCTCTTAGTTTTGACGTCTTGGTTGTTGGTTTTAATTACTGCTGCAAACATGACAGTTCCTTCTGCAGACTCTGCCCTAAGGTTTGAAATTTCCTTCCTAAACTTAGCACTTTTCTGCCTCACTTTCTTTCTTTTACGATACTCTTTAAAACTTACTCCTTTGGCAAACCTTTTGGTGATCTACCTTAATATCTCCTTCATGTAGCTCAGTATGACAGATCTGAGCATTGACTGTCCAAATGTTAGAAATTGGAAGCTATCAGACTCTTCTTCTTTTCACAGTAACCAAGAAACTGCATCAAGCACCTGACCATTCGAAGGTGGTGGGAGATTTAGACTGGACAGTCGAATAGCTTGTTTGTCAAGTAGAAGACCGAATGGGATAGAGTGAAGAAGCTAATAAGGTTAGTGTTTGGGCTCAGCCTTTACATGACCAAAAAGTTCAATAGTAGACTTACCTTTCTATCCCTTGCAGGGATAACTGAGAATTACTTTTAAGTCTCATTCTTCCAACAAACTGATATTGGAAATTCATCATGCCTTTCTTTCATTTTGTTGTATCTCAGCATTTCTACATATGCTTTGATGTGGGATATGTGGTTAATTATCACCCTCATACTATGCAACAAAATGATTAAAATCATATATGTTTTAAACAATTAAAAATTTATTTCAATACTATGGCCTATTTAGTGTTTTATTCAGTTGCAGTGTCGCATCCGACTTTTTGCTTCGACTAATGCAGGCAAGGATCCTGCATGAATTTCTGACCACCTTATCTATCTATCCAGTTCACTGAAGATTTCACATCCTGCCATTTGTTGTTTATTCTTTTCCCTTGTTAGTCTCTTCCAAATTAATTACTGCACATTTCTTCTAATTGAACTCCTTTTGCCAATCTTCAACCTACTGGACTGTCTGTCGATATCTTTCTGCAGCCTACAGTCAAGTCAAGAACAAAAGATGGGACCTGAAAAGAGCACTCCTCAGTGGGCAAAATATAATCTGCATTGCCACAGGCCATGGATATTTTTTCCCAATCTCTCAATGGAATTAAATAATCGGGGTAAAACTTATAGAAGGAACAATTGGGGCAGTAGATCATTATAGGATTAGATTGTACATTCCAGTTTTGCTCAAAGATACATTGTGCCAACCTAAGCTGGAGGAACAACACCTGATATTCCGCCTTGGGAGCTTACAGTCCAGTGGTCTCAATATTGACTTCACCAGCTTCAAAATCCCTCCACCCCCAGCCTTATCCCATGTCCAGCCCTTCCCCCTCCTCCATGCCTCCCTGACTTGACCTACCCTGTCCATCTTCCTACTCACCTATCTGCTCCACCCTTCCCAATGACCAATTACAATAAAGCCCTACCTGCATCCACCTAACCATCCCACCTACCCTTCCCCCAGCTGCACCTCCTCCCCCTATTTACTTCTGGGCTCCCCTCCCCCTGCCCAGCCCTGATGAAGTGTTTCGGCCGGAAACATTGACTTTCCTGCTCCTCGGATACTGTCTGACCTGCTGTGCTTTTCCAGCTTCACATCTACTGACTCTTTTCATTACAAATCTACTTATAACCTTTATTATTGTCAACTGTGTACAGTTGGGAGAATCTGCTAACAATTTTCATGGGAATTTGGGAGATTGATAGTTCGGTGCAGAGGGGGAAGTGAATACTGAGTAGCTCAACAGAAGAATAAACAAGTGAATATGCCATATAGATAATCAGAGTAACTATTTGGATCTGAGGGGTAATATTAAAATTAATAAGTTGAGGACACTAACATTAAAGGGTTCCAAATTGAATTAATAACTTAAATAATAAATTGAAGTAAGAGCACTCTTGAAATTTAAAGTTTAAAATTTATATCATGGGACAGCTGAGAACTGTTGCTTGAAGAGAGCAGAATCACTGCAGGGCATATGAGAGATTGAGAATGTTCTGGATTGTAGATTCCAGGAGATAGTTACCCTGGATCTGTAGAGAGTTCAGGGTGATAGCAGCCATTTGAAAAGGTAGGAAGAGGCAGGCAGTGAAGGAATTCTTCGGGAGTGTGGCATTCTGAAACTGATTTGAATATAGTGTTTTATACCAAGGAAGGTGAAGGTACCTTAGAAGGGTTGCATGATACGTAGCTTGGTAGCATGGGGCAAATGGCTGTACACAGAAATGTGTAGAAATACCGTGGTCGTAGGGGATAGACAGACATTCCTGAAACCAATGATATGAATCCCACATAGTTTGTTGCCTCCCTAAAGGTAGTTCTGAACATTTTCAGCAGGAAAAGGAAAAAGCCGGATATCATAGCCGATGTGAGAACCAATTTTTAAAAAAATTTCAAAATATACTTCATTTGTAAAAAAAAATCTTTATATATATACATAGTCAGAAATGCAGTTCAGTTCTGTACGGTGGCATATCAAGGAAACAAACATTGGAGTTTGACTCTATCCAAACAAATTAAAGCATCCCTTACTTGAACAAGATTATGTTTACATAATTTGAGGCACCGAGAAGGTCTGCTAACTGAATGGACCCCAATTTAACTTTGACAGAAGGACCTCAGACAGTGGTCTTTCCTCACTGTGCCTTGGTGGCAGGTGCCCCAAGTTTTAATGCATCCCTCAGCATGTAGTCCTGGACCTTGAAACGTGCCAGTTTGTAATATGCAATTGAGGTCACTTCGTTGTTCTGGATGACCAACAAGTTTTGGGCAGACTAAAGAGTTGATGGTCCTCCAGGTGCAGTTGATATTTGTCTCAGTGTGTGTCTCATGGAACAGAACATGGAGCACAGAGTCCTGCATCACGGAATTCCTTGGGACGAACCTTGACAAAAACCACTGCATCTTTTTCCAGACTTACTTTACAAAGGAACATTCCAGAAGGGGATGTGTGACAGTCTCAACCTCCCCCCAACATCAGCTTTGAGGGCAGCGTGCGGTGGTGCCAACCGATTGGGTGCATGAAGGCTCTCACAGGTAGTGCCTTCCTCACCACCAGCCAAGCAATGTTTTGGTGCATGTTGGAAAATTCTGGTGATGAGGCATTCTGCCAAGTGACTTTGACGAGTCTGCTTAGGGAACCACACGACAAGATCCGCCCTCTCCTTTTCCCACAGGATCTCAAGGATGTGATGTGCTAACCACTTCCTGATGGACTTGTGGTCAAAGCTGTTTTTCTTGGCAAATTTCTCCACAAGGGACAGGTGATTCGGAATGGTCCAACTACTTGGAGCATTCCGTGGCAACAAGGCCAGTCCCATCCTTCGCATCGCTCAGGACAGGTAGAGCCTCAGTACGTAGTGACACTTGGTGTTTGTAAAACCGAAGGTCTTCACACAGCTTGATGCAGCCACACAAAAAGGTGGCCATCAGAATGAGGGCAGCGTTGGGTATGTTCTTCCCCCCACCTTACCCAGAGCTTTGTACATGGTGTCCCTCTGGACATGGTCCATCTTAGACCTCCAGGTGAAGTGGAAGATGGCTTAGGTGACTGCAATGGCACAGTTTAGGGGAATTGGCCAGACCTGCGCCACATACAACAACTGAGGTAATCATCTTTAAGATTGCCTGGTGGCGATTTTTCAAGCCAAGATACTAAGTCTAGCCTATCCTGAATGCATCCATCAAAGAAAACCAGGAAAAATCACTCAGAACAGCACCATCGTTGCAGGCCATTGCATACCCCAGTTTTATGACACTTGTTGCTATATTTCAGCAGTTAAATGATCTAAAGTTACTTATACAGTGACTGAGGAGAGGTAAGTATGTGGGTAAATGAGGGGGTTGGGTGGCAAGTGGGTAGATAAGGGGGTTGTGTGCCATATGGATGAGGAGTGGACAAGGTGGATAGGACACCAGGTGGTAGAGGGAGGTAGAATTAGAATTAGGTTTATCGTTACATGTACCCAATTACACGAATACAGTGAAAACTGTACAAAGGTGCCATTCTCAGCGCCATCTTATGTACAAAGATACCTAGGTACAAAATCTTAGAAAAATAAATAAGTTAGAAGTTAAACATTACAGTTCTTCTTAGTGTAAAGTAGAAAAATAAAGAAATAAAGTTAAAAGTTCAATATTACAGCCCTTCTATAGCCATGGGCCTGCGGTTGCTCCACACTTTGCTTTCCCCATGAGGGCTCGTTCTCCCTCACACTTGGCCTACACTTCCCACGAGGGCATGCTTTCTCCTGCGAGGTAGGGTGCCAGGGAAGTAAATGAGAGCTAAGGGTCAATGACATGGTTGGGTGAGTGGTGCCATGGGGGCGCATTTTGATTACTTTGGAGGTATGTTGGTGGTGGGGGGTGCTGCAAGGGAGGGGGAGTGGGGAAGGGTCGTGTTCATGCATTAAATCGGGCACAGTCATGTTGAGTGGGGTGTCGGGTTTGACAGGGTGGGTTGTGGACACAGGTGTAGGTTCCGATTGGATTGGATCAGATGGGTGTGGGAGTGAAGTATGGGGGAGGGGTGTATGGTTTCGATGTAAGTGGGAGAGTAAGTGGTGGGCTGGGTGTTCAGTTTCCTCGTTATCTAAGATGTACAGTAGGTTTGTAATGCTCTAACTGTTCAGGGGTAACTTTGAACCTTCAGTGAGTCAGAACCTACCCTCTCAAGCTCTCTGATTTTAACGGGAGAGTTCCAGATCAGCAGCATTGCTAAGTGGAGGTTCAATTTCCTGGGAAAATCCTATAAAGTTAGCCGTGTCAGGGATCCTGTGTGGACCTGAAGCTCAACCCAAGCCTATGCTGCTCCAATCAGCTATCTCGCCATCGAAATATTTTGGCCTTGAATAAATAATGAGTGACTGCTTCCAGTAGTAGAAGGATTAGTAACTAGAGGACACAATTTGAGGCACTTGCCTAAAAAAACAGAATTGACAAGAGAAAACTTATTTCTCCTGACCTAATTGTCATGATGTGGAATGCGCTGGTGGAAATGTTGGTGAAAGCAAGTTCAAATGTAAAGCGGTGTAAGATTGAATTGAAGTATATACATGTTAATTCATTCAGCATGATGAATATGCATTTTCAAAAGAGACTTTGGTATATACTTGAAAGAAAAACATAATATTTCCAGGACACAGAGAGAGCAGTGAAGTAGAGTTAGTTGGAAAGCTCAACCAGTGAGCCAAGCACAAAAGAAAAGGCTCCTTCTGTGCTGTCCCGCTCGAGGATTCTTAAGATCCAATTAATAAGTTGTTTATCTAATAACAGTTAATACAACTCAATCTAAATACCCACATTTTTTTTTGCTCTTTGAATCTTTGCACTGCATAAAAATGTTTGCAAATAATGTGAACATGCAATATTCCAAATTATTCCTTATCATTAAATGATATTCGAAAAAGTTGGCTAGTTTTGAGGCTGAAATGCCCCTAGTTTCAGTTTTGCT